GTTCAAACGTCACGTCCTTTCTGAGCCATACACTTTTGAAATGTTGGACAATATCCAGCCAGTGCCCACAATGTCCGAGGAAATCCTTGTCATAGCTCATCGTGATGGAGGTTCGTAAACTTCTAATTGCACAACTTGTTGTACAAAATTCTGATCATTTGATGTCTGATGTCCACTCGTACTCGTGGGTGAAATATTTTATGACGTCTAATATCTCAGGCTTTGTTTCAACCCCTCTTTAAATTTGAACATTTTTCTAAAGTATCTAGACTTGACAATATATTTGAGTATCCCCTCCTGGGTACAACTACGAACAAAACAAAGTCTTTCTGGTAAGAACTTCATCACTCCATCCAATATTCAAGTCTCTCTTTGAATTCAAATAAATACATGCAGCAAAACAAGTTTGTTGAATAGAGTGCTCCTGTATCTCGCAAAAATTAACCTGCACTCCACTTTTTGAAAATAATCATTGTATTCAATTAAAATAAATAATAAAATCCATACCTTTTATTGAGTGTACGAGAAACCAAGTTAATGCTTTATCTTGATTTTTTTGGTATCTGAAGTTCTTGGGAGATGGAGCATGTGCCAAAAAAATGTGCACTCGGTAGACCCGATGGCTCATATGATCCTTGAAAACTTGTATGCAATAAAATCTCACCTTGGATCGCAAAGAAACTTTTTGAAATTTTTGAAGGCAAAAATTATATAGCAAAAAATTAGTACAGAAGGTTAAATACACGACTTTCTTTTGATGGTGGTTTATAGTAGTGCTTTATGCACTGTACTAGAGTAAATAAGTAAATTATCCTGAAAGTCGAAGGAACACATTTTTAAAAATTATACTAGGTAGAAATTATATTCCATTTTTCATTTCTGATTAGGTCGCATAGTCGTTTTCGATGATGACAGCACAGAACTCGGTCAAATTGTGACCACGGATTTGGAGGCTTCCAACGGGGTTGTCCACATCGTCGACAGGGTTTTGGTGCGACATGAAGACACTCCAAGAGCATAAATAAGAATCCTCCAAATCCTTTTCAAATTCGTCACAAACAGGCAAAGAAATGTAGTAGTTATTTTTTGAAAACAGGCCAGTGCTTGATTCCATATTAATTAAACCGGCAACTCAGAAGATGCTGCGATATGTGTATATTTCCCTGGAAATATGACAGAACTTAAGCAGTATATATATACTGTCACGATTACACCAGGCCTTAAAAGTGTACAGTACTTATTCCTATATTACTTAAATAAAATACAAGCAGAATACGAAAATTGTTGTCTGACTTTGATAATGCACGAATTTCTGCTGAAAAGTTATAAATTTCTTTAAATTAAACTTGCATTTGATCCTGCAATCAGGTGCTCAATATCATAATACAGTATTTATTTCGTTTTTGTGTTTTGAAACTGAAGCAACATTGGATTGATCCACGCGGTGGAGACCCATTCAAAAGTAGACGAATGTAATCGGCTGTAAAGTATTACGGAAAATCTTTATGGTCTTCTCAGAATTTGAGGTAGGACAATCCATTTCAATCATCGTTTCTCGGTATACTACAGTATTTCATTCGAAGCTATGCAGTTGGAACAAATTCTGTATCTCATTTTCTGTCGCGCCATCTGCTGCTTCTCAAATCTCAAGTGAAGATGCACGAAAACAAAGCCAGACATTTCCCATCAAATCATAGCTACGATAAGCCAATGCAGCACAATTTACATAACAGAAAGAAGAGAAAAACAGCACCGCCGTTAACTCAAAAAAATGCTTTCATTTTCCTTCTCTCCGAAAGAAACTACACGTGGTTTCGGAAAAATAAACGACGTGAAATGCTCCGGGTAACCAATAAATGGAGCCAAAACTGTTGAGCCGAAAAGTCAGATAGAAGGACCAAATCAACAAGTTAAACAATACAACAATTGAAGAGGAACACCACGATAACAACAAAAACAAAATACGTTCAACTTTGGCTCGTCAGCGAATAAAATAATATGGCAGCCGACCTGAGTCCTACGCACTTCTCGAGGAATGCCTCGAGAACATTATTCTCGTTTCAACAGTGTCCATATTGGTCGAAATATGAGCTATTTCTTAATGTTTTCCCGTTCTAAGGATGCCATCAAAGTGGTCAAATACTTGAGTATAACGCAAATTTCAAACTTTATTTTACGTAAATAAGAAACACTGAGAAACGCACTCGAGAATAAAGCTGCAGATAAGTTTCCATGAGCATTTCAAACTAGTCAGTATAACTTTGCCACACATGGTATAACAGTCGCACTTCACCGAACATTGGCCGAGGTTTCGAAACCCGGGCTGGAAACGCTCAAATGTGCAATAAATAAACAACCAATTTTTCTCAAATCCCTTTGGGCGGCGTCGTGGCGATGATCAAAGAAAACAAAACAATAAGAGAAGCCTCGGTTTGAAACCGCGGTCAAGGTTCGGCTACCAGTCGCGACATCTAATCGCTGTATTCACAAAACCCGCGCGCTAGGCAGCGACCTCTGGCGGCGAGCTGGGCGTTGTCGCAGGCAGTCCGCCAGGGGCGTTAGTGCCGTCTTCCAAGTATCTGATGCTTGCGAGTATGTCATCCGGGTTATTGGCGTCGGGTTCCGAGTCGATAATGGTTGAATTTCCGCCGGTCTCCGTACCAAA